TAGATGGCGAAACATGGACTTAAAAATCATTTAAACACACACAACTCCACAGGTCACCTTTAACACAGCTGCTACACAGCTGAAAGCGCTAAGGAAGCAGTAAAGTAATGCTGATATCTGAAAGTACGAACAGGAACACAAGAGTAAAATTAAACTCCAAACCACAGAAAGAGGTCACAAAAATATGAATTATGGATTAATGATTTCCATCTTGGGAGTGGTCCCATCAAGCAGCACCACGACACCCAGGCTCAGCGTGGCTAAGCCCTGCTGTGAGGTTGCAATAAGGGTGTGTGTTCGCAGCTTGGCCGGCTAAAGCAGACTGAAGTGGACCTGTGGAAAAACTGCAATTAATGTTGCTGATTAGACCCCTTAACAGGATATGCTGAGGAGACCAAACCGGTGTGGGCTGGACACAAAACTAATTCTATCGGATTACTGACATTACAAATCCGAACACAAGTTTCAATTAATTTGTGAATTTCTTGAACTGGTCATGTTGTAATTAATTACACAAACAGCTCAGCAATGAGCCAACATGAAGAGGAAAATATTTTACTCTTATATTAAAAAAGGTTCTTATTGTCCAGCACTATCTTAGAGGTCGAATTTAGTCCCACCATAACAGGTGTAAGAAAACTAAAAGGACAGCGAGGGAGATGTCAATCAAGCACCGCGCTGTAGACGCCTACAAACCTGAAAAGACGTCTAATCAGCCAGAAATAAATGAAAACTCCTGTGTGGGTGGACCAGGGGGGAAATGTCTCAAATAACAGTTGAAAATGCAACCATTTTTTCTATCATGTTCAACGCTTTGAGACTTTGCAGGCCTGTGTAGTTACCCAGTGTGAGGCTGCTGACAACAGATCTGGGTCAAATAGCATTTACAGATAATAGTTTGTTTTTCATCATTCTGCCAGTTTTGCAATTCGAAATGGGTCAGACTGGCCACACAGGACGAAAAAAATAGAATAAATAGTTGTTTATCAAATAACTGTTACATTAATTGTATGATAGAGGTAAACAAAAAACAAAAAAACAAACCTCTTAAGATTCATTTGTCGACACTATCAGACTCAGGATCCGTTTGTCTGAACCAAGGAGCAGAAATGGTTTGCGAGACCTTACATCTTCTTTACAAGTCCAGTCAGAACATCTTCAAAAAGACAAACCAGGTCTTACATCTGACCCGTGACCTTTGAGTCACTGTGCTGTCCGCGTTAACCACTGAACCCCGACCAGAAAGGAACTGATGGCAGCAGGCTGCTGGGAATCACCTCCACAATCTTAACTTTACAGATTCACCGTGGCCACACAGGTGATTTTTCATTTTACATTCATTTACAAAAGAACCCAAAAACAATCTTCATTCTTAGTGAAATTATTACTACAGTACATCTGAATCAGCTGTAGAGCAGATTCATGTATTTAGAGTTTCTTTGCAAAATGAGATCTCTGCCTTGTGGGAAACAGAATAAAATTTCCAACTGAAGGAGACTGTGGTTATACATTGTGTCACTGTTTGTTGTTACTGGAGAATGCAATGAAGTAATTTTCTAACTGAGCATCATGAACAGGTTAATGTTTTCTTAAATGGAAAGAAAGCATTTTGGAATTACACATTTCTACAGAAAATCAAATAAATGAGCTGTTGTCTGATCTCAGAGCTGCGTCTGTTGAAGTGAGAGTGCTGCTGATGCTGCAGGTGTATATGTACTTTTCAGGCATTACAGTGTTGACGGGTCATGTGAGTTCGCAGGTCATCCTCGCTTGCATCTCTGTGGTCTCCCTCAGCTCAGTCACATTTGCTAACTATTGCTTTTGTTTTAAGCTGCTTTGAGCATCAAATGAGCGTTTACTAAATATGGGCCCATGAATTAAGTCCCGCCAATTTGCCAAGCAGGTTAAACAAAAGGGATGTTTGTAAAACTGTTTGACCCAGAAATCAAATTTTACTTTAGTCAGTGAAAGTGGTACCATTTTCTGCTGAGGCTGAAGAATAGTGTTGCCTTCCTAAAGCCACAGAGCCTTGTACATCCCAAAATGTTTCCTCTATTGTCAGCATTTTACCATCCAACAACGTTTTTGGAATTGAATAGCACCTCCATATGATGGTTGGTTACCTGCCAAACAGACTGGTAATGCAGACAAACATAAAGTCAAAAGAACTTCTGCAAACCTGAGAAGAAGCAGAGATAACCTGTCCTCCTCGCTCTGCTTTCAGATGGACTGAACTAGTGTTTAATAAAATGCAGCTTTTTTTGTGGCAATTTGCAATCAGGTGCCCAAACCTAAACACAGACCAAATTGTCTCACATTAAGCTGATGAAAGATGGTTATTTTACACCATCAAGTCTGCAAAAGCAATCGAATTAACATCAAAACCTGAACCAGGCATGATGGCGAAAAAAGATACTCTAGCAGGGTCCCCACTCTTTTTAGGAAATCATTTTCCAGGACATTTTCCAGTGGTTTCTCTTGACAATACAGGAAAGCCCTTGCTCACAGTGGCGGTCAGCGTTTGTGGGACAATCCGTGGATATTTGGGAACCCCGTCTAGTGGGGAAAAAAAGAGCAAAAAACGATTGATTAAAAAAAAAATTGTGAAAGTGAAGTGCTTTGATTCCTCAGTGCAAGTATGAACAGAGCTGACTCCTAATGCTTGCTGGGGTCACTGAGTGGAGTTGTGAGCACATCCAGCTCTCTATAATTACAGAATGTCAACTTTGTTCATGCTTTCTGGCCTGACCTTTTCCCAATGCTAAAAGTGCGCCCTTTAACCAGACGGTGAGCAGTTCTAGTATGCTCAACACATGTGAGAGTCTGGAAATAAATACGATGCATTCTTAATGGAAAAATACAACTCATTAATTTTTTTCTATTACTGAACTTCTCAAAGAGCGGGAAGTTAATAATAATGTTGTGAGGCTGGAGATATTGTTTATATATCAGTGTATTCAGTGCCTTCAGTCAAAGACCTGCAGGCATTGTAATTTTTTAATGACCAATGTGGACTAATTCACACCTGCTCTGATATTTAGTGCTGAAAGAGAAAAGACAAAGACAAGAAGGCAAGAAACACAGATCTGACACCCTGATGCCCTTACAAAACAGAAAATTACTTGACATTTCAAAGCAACAGCTCTGTTTCAAACTAGCAGAGTTTTTTTTTTTTTTCGTGTCTGTGTTTGTCTCGTGTTTTTCATTCTGTGGTTTCCCTCATTTTTCCCAGTGGACAAAAAAAAAAGTAATGTTTCTTTAAAAATGGACCAGTGATTTCAGATAAGGACTCTGGAAAGAGCAGGTAGAGCAGACAGAAAAGGAAGGCAAAACAAAAGACCGGCTTAGAGCAACCTCACACATGGAGCACAAAAACAGAGTAAGCCCAAGACACCTCGCAATAAGATAATTTCAAAAGGCAATTTTTTTTTGTCTACTTTTTTTTTTGAATCAATAGCCGAGGTCTTCCATGAGATGTGGTCAATTCAGAGGTTCCATTTAACAAAAGGTGCAAATAAGGAGACTGACACTGACACATCATGGCTGCTCACTCTGCTAGAGTGTGTCTTGTGTGTGTGCTTTATGTTCAGGGTTGTCGGCCGGGTACCGTTTGAATGTGGCCATTAGCAGCTCCACTGTTGCTGCATCAATGTGAACACAGACGTCACTGCTGCAGGGGCTAATTGAGCAGCCGTAGATAGCTCAGGGACACGGAACAATCTGCATTAAACGGCAGGGGGAAAGCGACAGGCTTTCTGAGATGGACGGGGTTGGTGCTTTGCATTTGGGGGCACAGGAGCAGCAATTAGAGGCTATGGATTTCTTAGGGAATGATCACACAGGACGCTGAACCATTGCCCAGGCACCCATCACGCAGATCAGCCTAATACCTTCAGTCAATCTGAGTCAGGAGATCTATAGGAAGCCTGTTTCACATGATCTCCAGGCACAGCACTGCCAAAGGGACAATCGTTAAACACAGGAGGGTTTTCTCACCACCAACTGTTCGTTGTGTGTGAGAGCCCTGCGTGTGCACCCCTGTGTGCGCGGCCATTGGCTTTCATTGCAACTGGAGGAGTAATTAGCTTGAAAAGTTTCAATCTGCGCTGGCTTACGATGCAGCCAGCGTGGATGAGATGTTGCTGTGGTCTTGTTTTGTACTCGGCCACACCGCCAGAGAGGTGTGAGGCTGTTTGGCTCGGCAGCCAAACAGCCACAGAGGCAGAGAGAGAGAGAGACGGGCAGAGACAAAGCTCCAGACAGGCCACAGAGAAGACAGCAGCAGAAGACACAGAGCCGATTAGAAATGTCACAGACTCTTTAGATGGGCTTTGGCTGCACGGTCAGCCTCCTACAGTGGATCCTCATTAAAGGAAGACACAACATGCTGTTGGCTTGCTCGGAGGCTGGACTGTACAGGACACCGGTGACACTGCCTTCAGTGCTGAGCTCTGAACATGAACAGCAGGCGACAATGGGCTACAAATGAGTTACAAGGGCTTGGAAAGTTGGTTTTTGGAAGTGTGTGTGTATGTGTGTGTTTGTGTGCATGCGCAGCTGAACACGTCCAGTTTGTTCTTGCCTTCAAAATAAAACAATACAAAACAAAGAACAACAATAACTTAAGTAAAACGAGAATATAGAGGGTTGCAAAGTCTCTGGATTTTTCAAAAACTACGAGACGAGGATCTCTTCTAGCAGCAAGCCGTGGCCGCCTCGACTCTACCGAGGCGGTGTCGACAAATGTAAAATGTTTTTTTTGAGGGGGAAAGGGTGAAGTCAGCACCCGCTCTGTCCCTCCCTCCCTCCCTTACCATCCTCCCTGCCTCTCTCCTCCCTGCTCCCTCCTTTGTGTCAGTTTCTGTCAATTCAGTTCGCTGGGCACCCATAGTTCCCCTGTAGGAGGAGAGGGAGGAAGCCCAGCATAAAAGGCCCAGACCACCCCGCGCCCCCCCGGCCCCTCACCAAAAAATGTTCAGTTCTGCGCGTCCAGCATGCACCCTCCCTGCGCCTGCCCAGAGCGGCAGCTGGCGGAGGTCTCTGAGGGAGGGGGCCGAGGCGGGGGGGCTGATGGGAGAGCATTGGGTGGTGGGGTGGTAGAGGAGGACAGGGGGGCGTGGTCAGATACAGGTGGATGGCTGTGCGGTGGGCTGCTGTTTGCGGCTCCTCAGGCCTCCAGACTTCTCCTTGTAACCCACACACATCTGCTGAGAGACGTCCACCAGCGCACTGGCCACTGCCAGACCTGAACACACACAAATATTACAGTTAGGTGAAGATTATGCAAAGATGTACATGCCGTTGGTTTCTTTTTGTGATGTGGACATACCAAGCTGTGTTTTATTATATATATTTATAGGGATGTTACTTTTTCAATACTTTTTGGAGCTCCAATAAATGAGAACACACACAACATTTGTTCAAATTAATTCAAATGCAACTTTTCATGATCCGTAAATCATTTAACCTCTACAATCATATCTGTGAAGGGATGAAAAGACGACACAGTTTAGGATTTAGTGGTGTCTAGTGGTGAAGTTGCATGTTCCAAGCGTGTAGGAGAAACTACGGTGGCCCCATCTACAGCCAGTGTTTGGTTTGTCCTTTCTGGGCTACTGTAAAAAAAAAAATGGCGGTTCAACATTTTGGCATCTACTACATAGTAACAGGTTGTACTAAGATACTAATAGGAATTTTGCGAAACAAGTAGTCAAGAAAATAATGTCACCTACAGTTTTGTAGTAAGGAAAAAATGACGTGCGATACTTCAAACAGAAAGCTAAATCTTTTTTTATTTCTTCATACAAGTCCTAATTTTTTTTTTTTTGCAAGGCATTATGGGTCAATAATGTCCATCCGCACTGTCACTTTTCCACTATCAACACACATGCATGCTTAAACGGCATTTAGAATTACTGTGTAGTGTAAAATTGGGACAGACGTTTGCACTCACAACCACATACACAGGTGGTGAGATCCTAGACTGGCAGCGCAGGCAATCATTAACTTAGACCACACTTCATTAACATTTATTAATACTCTCTGAGCCATGAAATTCCAGTAAACTCCATTTATCTCCAATGATGGATGCATTTAGCCCGATCAAATGCACATAGCCAACGGCGAAATATAAATTCCACAGAGAGAAGCAGTGGCTGGGAGTCTGATCGTCTTCAGTATAACAGGCTGCAACCATTAGCTTGTTTCTTGATCTTAAAGTGGGTGCAGGATAGTTCAAAGCAAACAAATGAGGCTCAGATACAAATCAGAGAATGATCTACAGTGCTGACCTCCTCTTGGCTGTTTGGAGAGTGACAAGGGCAGCCATTTTGGAACAAGCTTAACTGTAAACAGATGTGCTGTGATGCCGTGACAGACCATAGCCTGAAGATTCCAAATGCACACGGCCGGATGGGAGACAAGTTAAAAGCAATATAACAGGAGATCCTTGTGGGCATGAGGAGATGGTAGGAATGTGGATAACATGGTCTCAACAAAAGCTGCCAGAGGGGAAGCTCCACTGAGAGCCGAGGCAGTTTTGTTATGACAAAAGGACTATGTGGTAATTAATAAGGGCCTGGGGCGCACTGATGGTCTGGGGACTGCAACTGCGGGAGGCAAAGAGGCTATAAAAGACAGAAGAGGAAAGAAAATACAGAAATGAAGTTGAGTTCTTGTTTGAGTCCTTGAAGACGACAGTGAAAGAAACAGAAAAAAAGAAAAAAAGCCAAGTTAAGTGCTTAGTCCGGGGTCCTATCAGACTGTCTTGGAAAAAAAAGATAAGGAAAACAGATGAAGGAACGGATGGGAACGTAAAGAGAGCAAGTGACAGAGCAGAGGATGAAAGGAAGTAATGGGCTCAATTCTCAGTGTTATCAGACGGCCCGGGAAAGAAAGAAGGAAGAGAAAGAAGGGGTACAGCACAGGGAAATACAGAAGAGACATAACACTCAAGCGAGGGAAAGAGAAGAGCTGCAGCAAGCTTCTTAGCAATGGAGAGACACGATAACATGCAGACAGAAAGACGATGAAGGGAGGAAACACAGATGAGAGGGAAAGCAACAAACAGACTGCAGCCTTCATTTCACCACACAGGACTGAAAGGAGAGACGAGACAGAATGAGGAAAAGAGAGAGAGCAGGGAGGGAACAGGGAGAGCAATGAGAGAAAGGAGGGAGAGCGCTGCAGCATCTTTAAAAATCAATACGTCCTTGTCACATTAATGGTGCAACCATGAAATAATTACTGTAAACAAATGAGACCATGGTCAAGATGATTCATAGCCTCTGTGTCACAGTGTGTGTGTGTGTGATTTTGCTTATTTATTTCTTAACACTAAGACCACATATCCCATAATCCCTTATTCTTCTTTTGTGTCACTGAGGATCGTCAGTCCAAGGTGTTATTTTATGTAAAAAGATTTCACTGTGGCTTCTATTTGGTTTTCTTTGTGTCAACCAGTAAAAAAATATTGTATAAAAATGCAGTGTAGAGACAGAAACCAATAATTATTATTAGATTTTACATGACAATGTCCACATTATGTGCATGGCTATATTAAAGGGTTAAGTGGGTCCCTTTAAAAACTGCTGATTGGACCCATCTGACCTCTCCAGCTCCTGTATGTATTGACCAAGTTGCCTCCAGGGTCCCATTGAGTACAGTACAGACAAACAGGAGAATCTAAGCAGCTACATTATATGGACACAGACCCAGAGACCAAGCCGTACTCCTGCACCACCAGATTTGATTTGAATGAAGATTTAAAAGAACTTTATCTAGTAATATGAATAACATGAGCTCAAAATAACTTACAATAATGTGTCTCATATGTTTTTTCTGCTAAAAAAAAAAAGTATAATTTCAACATTAAAATTCCCAAAAAGACATTTACTCCTTCTACCTCATTAGAAATGACAGAATCTGCTCATCCTGTTCCAAAGTTTTCCTGCTGGACATAAGATGTCTGTAAAGTCCTCATTCTCACTATATGTGCACTGTTGGCTTCACGAAGCTACATCACACTTGAACCAGGAACTGACTTCTAAACTATTTGTGATGCTTGTAGGCCCCGCCCCTTAAACTCAGATCTTCAGTGAGCTCAGAGAAACTTTCCACATTCAGCAGATAAATGTGGAAAACATCGTTCCAGAGTCAGACTCTGCACATACATTATTCTGTACAGTGAAGTTCAAACATTCAACTGTAGGAAGGATTTTTGAGTGGAGGGGGACAATATTAAGTATTTAAGTGCTATATTGGTTTTTATAGACCAGCCTTGACTAAGCTGGCTACATTTCAGAACTCATCTTTTTTTCCTGTGCTGGCCTTTGATTCTGAGTTCATTTTTTTTCTGTCCCCAAAACAGCATTATTTTTTCTGAATAGCTCTTGAGAGTGGATGGATCTGAAAATGCTGCTCTCACATTATAACAGGGATGGGAAAAAGCTAACCTCTGCAATATGCAGCAGAATTTGAAGATGCCAACTTTCATCTTCCACTCTTTTTGAGATCTTTCATTCCTAATACTAAAACACAGGTACTGGTAATAATACAGGTATTGATGTATTTATGCTTCTGTTATCAGATGAATTTCTAAGCACAAAATCGATTTGACTGTTGGACCGCTGCAGCAGATCAAAAATGACTGTTTACCTGGTTAGGAGGCAGCATTTATGAGCTACAATTCCATCGCTTTGATTTATATTTATAGTTCTTTGTCAGACAACAGAAGTAGATAAATAGATTATGTGAATCAGACCACCTAATCAATGTATTATATTGAAACCACTCCATCCAGTGGAAAACCCATTTAACTGACTATCTAGCTGAGTCTGTCACAGTGTTTTAGCATGTGGCATTCATGAAACACACTATAAATAACATTTAAATATGGGTAGGTAGGAAAAAGAAAAAAATGGCAACGGGGTACCTACACAGATGGGTTGGGTCAATACTTTTTAGGGGAATGGGATATTTCACCTATATATTTTACCACATGGGCGCTGTATCATATAGACAACATTTTGTGCTTTACAGGTAATAAAGTCTTAAATGTTAATGGTCTTTTCATTGGTAGAGCGGTTCAAACCCTTAATGTTTTGGGTATATTGGAAATGTATGCATGTTCCACACTTAATGTTGCCCTAAAGGGGTTTAGTAGTGAGCTTACTGTTTTGGACCTCCAGAAACCTTTACTCTGTCCTATTCAGATGATGAATGCAGCTGTGGTGTTTCAGTGTGGGTTGATAACTTTATAAAAAATGAAATCATTAGTGTCGAAATAGTTTTTCCATTTTCTCCACTTTACTGTGGGAATAGTGTAAAAAGCTGAAGGAAGGATGATACCAAAGAAATAACAGAAAAAGATAAAGAGAAGTGAAACAAGTTTGAAAAGTGTGAGGTGTAAACTTGTCCATCTCTAACTGGAGCTAAAGCTTCAAAAGACAGGAAGGAAGGAAGATCAAGAAAAGGGATGTGAAAAAAGTGAACAATCATCAAACAAAGACAGCTGAAGTGAGGAAAGAAAACAAGTGAAGGATTCAATGGCTATGTCTTACCAGACTGTCCTGGAGGAGGGATGCCGCCAGTGCCCCTGGGTAACCGCACAAAGATGGAAAGCACGGCGGCTTTGTTGCCAAAGCAAGGCTCAAGGGCGATGGGTTTTGGGACGGACTGTGGAAAGAAAGGAAACAGAAAGGGAAAAAAAACAGTATTACACATCACAGGCCTTCCAGATCCTGGTGAACACATGCCATTTTCAAAGACATGGATAACGGAGGCTTTGCTGTTACTGTTCTTGTTTGTGTCAGCAACATGAACAGGGGGGAAAAAACCTTTTCCATCCCCTGTTGAGATACACATACTGATGTGCGGACACAAATTGGATCCACGGCCCCTCCCAAAATCCCCCGCTGTGCACAATTTCATGACAATGCTGCCTGTGTGCAGTGTGGGCCACGACTGGATATCAAGTGGCGGCGCTGGGAGCGGAGATTTGTGTCGGCAGTACTGGCAGACTGCACTCCTGTCGCCGCAGGCTGCCTGACACACCTGACTCTCTAATACCAATATCTCCTGTTTATCAGCAACTCATCCATATGTGGGGATGAGTTTCCCGCCTGTAAACACTGACTGGATCTGCTGCCGCTCACCTCGTACAATATTCATGGGTTTACCTCGACGGAGGATATGGATATGGAGAACGCCGCCACCTCAGCCGCATACAGATAACAGCCTATCTCTCTCTCGCCATCTATCTCGCTCTGTATTTCGAATTCCTGAGCCGGACAGGAAACTGGGCCATGGCATGGTTTCACACACATTCCTGACACTGCCTCTCAATTTGCTCACACATAAACACACACACATCCCAACACACAAATTCAATCCCTTCCCACGCCAGTCTTTATACTCGGGAGAGTTGAGCTTAAAGCCCCAAGTGGAAATGCCGCTGGAGTGACACACACACCACAGCACACACACACACACACACACACCCTACCTACACAGCACACACACACACACAGTTTTCATACATCAACTGTATATATACACTATACCTGTCGACATTTTCACACACAAATCATCACTGCTCGTTTTCTCCTCTCCACAAAGACACGACACACACACATAGTGTAAGCGTACACATGGGGAGTGGGGCAGTAATGATATTCAGGCTCTGACCCATTTTACACAATTATTCGCTGCTCCATCTCTCTGAGGCTTACCTTTCATACGAGCAGGATACACAGGCTGTCACACAGGTAGCTGGGGAGGTGGCACAAAGACCTGGATGCCTCCCCCGCTCCTGTGTGTGTGTGTGTGTGTGTGTGTGTGGTGTGTGTGTGTGTGTGTGTGTGTGTGTGTTGTGTGGTGTTGGTGAGGGCATCTCAGTGTTGTGGTGTGTTGTTGGGTGTGTCGTTGTTGTGTCGTGTACGTGTCAGTTGCAAGTGGTGTGGTAGTGAGGATTTTTAGTGCAATCTGAATGTACTCATATGTTGTGTGCATGCATGTGTGTGTGGATTTAGTGCATCTGATGTTGTAACAGAGGGGGATTCTGTATTTGTTTATGCCTTTATGGAGGTGTGTCTGCCTGTTTATAGCATGTATGTTTATACAGGTGATCTGACAGAGAAGGGCATTTTATTCTCCATTTGTTCTGTACACCGGTTAGTGGATTCGCTGGCTGGTCCATGACAGGCCCCTGCTTATCTGAATGAAAAGAATGGATATATCCGGCTGGCAGCTGGATGGTAGCCGGTGGGTGGCGGCAATTCTGAGTGGCGGGTACGACATCCCTTCCGACATACACTTCACTCAGTAAATCTGCTGGTAATTTTACATGTTGGTCTTGTACATGAATAAGCTCGCAATCAGTTTTCTGGAAAAGCCACGCCTACATCAGTTAGTCAGACTTTGCAACATTTCTATAACACAGCTGTGCCTTCAAAGGCTGGAATCATTGTTCTCAGAAGATACGCAAATGTTCTTGTTCTCAGGTCAGATCCATCTTGAAAGTGTTTTTATTACGTACTATTGTTCATTTTTCTCTAGTATGCAGGAGGAAGAGAAACAAAAAAAAAAACCTACCTTTGTAAAACCAAAATGATCATCACACCATCAGTTTCTGCTCTCAGCGTTCATTAATGCCAACTGCCTACAGTTTGAGTATTCAGTATAATGCTGAGGAAATAATGAGGAAATTAGAATGAACTGAGAGTCCTATGGTTTTTAACTCTGCTTGGATGCAGTCAGACTATATTCAACAGGGAGCAGAATGTTTATATTCCATCTGATAAGTGATTAAATTGATGAGAAAATGTATTAGGGAACCTACAGGGTTGATTAGAGTTGTTAAGCAGGGGCTTTATCTGTAATAGTACTGTCATTTTAAATAAGCTGTTAAGAATGTAAAGAATGCTTATGTTTGAAAAATACTTATACATATACAGATAAATAAAGCCAGCAACATTACAGACTCCATGTCTGAAAGGGGCACACATGATGTAATGTGTGTGTAATTGCAATATGACTGCATGTCTGAATGTGTGTGATTATTGTTCTATGCAGCTGAGAACTTGCTGTGGTTATGCATCTTTGTACGGAGAAAGTTATGAGGTTTTTGTTTGTGTGTGTAAGCTTTGCGTGCATGCCTCTGAGCTCACAGCAATTTTCAGCTGTGTTGATCCTGCACTCTCACGCACACGCACACACGCAGTGTTACAGACCCCCTAAGAACTGACAGGGGGAAAAGTTCAGATGCAGACAAATGGGCTCATAGTGGGACGGGGCTCGCCTGCTGGAAACACTGCAGTCAAACCAGCAGCAGCATCAACAGCGCGCGGAAAATAAATACTCCGACACATGTTTGGATACCAGAACTGTGTACAACTCTGACATGCTGGAATTTTAACAATAAATCATGAATCCAAGTGCTTTGACTTTGAGAAATTAGCGTGATTAATGTAAACAAACGAGTCCACGGGAGAAAGAAAAGGGTCACTGCTGTGTTTGTCCATCTTCAACTCTGTCCACTTGGTTTTCATTCTCTCTCTTGTCACGTTTATTTACAAAGGCAAAAGGGGTTTGTCCCAATGGGTTTTACCATTTGTACAGCCACCCTCTATCCTAACACCCCCGACTCAGAAATAACATTGCTCTTTCTCTCATTAAATGTGAAACAAGAACATTTACTTTCACTCCCTTCTTTTCTGTCTTTCGTCTATCTTTCCAATATTGCCTTCTGTGCAGTCTTTTGGAGTTGCTAACATTTTATCATTCATTTTAAAAGAAATTTTAATGACATTTTATTAGAAATATAGTATTAATAATAATTACCATAAACAAGCAAGACCACGCTGGAGGAGATTGGCAGCCTCTAACAACCACCCATTACACTGATGTATTTATCCTCTTTAGCAAAGTTAAAAGGAAAAACTACAGAATGATAACAGGAAGAGCGAGGAGGGACGAGTTGCAACAAAACAGAGAGAGGTTTTTATGAAAATGGGCTTTTAATTATGATAAACACTAGAACACAATACTGGTGTGAGAGAGAAGCTACAACTCATCTCATCTGTGGTACGACAAAACCGTATGAGGGTATCAAAAGTAATCCGACTGCCATTTTTCTTCATAAATGCTTCACACATCTCATATCCATGCATTTAAATAAGGTTAGTTTTATACGAACTGCTAGAATGAGCACGAAAAGGTGGGACACAAAGAGGTTTATAACCTTTACATAACGTTAAAAACACAAGTTAGAATTCTTCGGATTTCAGTTCTGGTTGATCGGTGAAACCTGTGGTTACTGTAGGTAATGGCAGGTTTGACAATCTATCTCTTAAGCTTGTGTTAACCACCATTTCAGGTATCCAACCAAAAACACATTCAAAAAACGCATCCACTTCGAGATGAGGGACCCTGAAGTGCAAAAATATTCACTCGCTTTGGTACTTATTCTGCAGCACTATTACACAATGGCTCTTGCTGAAATCTCGTCCATTTGTCGGCACCTGTTGTGTTTGAGAGGTTACCATAATCAAGTACATAAGAGTTTTATATTCTAGATGTTAGACATGTCAAGACAGTGGTGTGGGAAGAAAACAGCAGAGAGAAAGAATACTCTAATTAGACTGTTTTTATTCTTTCTTTAATTTGGTGAACTTTGGAAAACTAAAACAATAAAATCAAACCTCTATTAATTTGGCTGAGGACCTTGTGGGAACTTGTCAGAGGCTTCTATCCTGCCCTGGAAGCACTTTAGAGAAGCTTCTTTAAAAACTCACGAGAGAGGTGGGAGTGAACCAGATAAAAAATATCCTAATTAAATACTGATGGAGAATAAATTGCAATTTTGTTTTCCATTTGATTGCAGTAAAAGACAATATTGTCCCTCAGGGCAATAAAACATCACCCTAACAGCTTTAACAGCTTTATGTGATAAATGAGTGATGACTCAATAACTAGATAAGACAACCAAGCACTCAGTATGAGGATCATTTCTTTCCCTTTTCAAATTCATGGCACTAGAACTTCATTTTATGCAACTTACACAGATTGCAGAGAAACGGGAATAGAAATACTGACAACTATTCCAATACAACATTAGGTGGTGCAATATCACACTTGGCTAATTTTGCTCCTCAATCCCTTGGTACAAGAAAATATGAAACAATTATTTTGGCCTTGCCAGAAGCAATCCAACCAGGCTTGGTTTGCTCCAGTCCACAGGTCTGTTTTTGCCTCTGGCTAAATGCATTTCTCATCCAGTGTGTTTACAATTGGAAAAATGAGGGCTACCCGTGATAACCTGAACACATCTGTACTCTGTGTGTAAAAAAATAAGAGTGGCAGCTTTTAATTTTACAGCTTAGGGCTGTAAGACTCGTCTGCCAAGTCCAACTTCCACTGCAGCAGCTGCAAGCTGCTCTTAGGTTCTCGCTTGTTTACGTGCTCCTTTCTCATTTACTAACATCGGCATCTCATATTCAAACTGGAGAGGGAATAAACACACATTGGAACTTAGGGACTTGCTGTCAGACTGATGTTGGATGTGACAGTGGGATTATTTTGATTTCAACAGTTCTCGTTTTGTAATCGATTGCATTGAGAGCTCAACGGTACGACTATTATATCCGAGTCACAACCTCAATTTCAACATGAGGCTA